GACTCTATACTAGAGATTATTTTAACCATGATTCCAGACAAAAGTTAAAACCTAGCACCAGTCACTTTGCAAACATGATGAGAAAGGTGGACACGCCAAGGGTTTCACCCCTCAAAGCACAGTTTGACACATAATATTTTTTTTCCAAATGTGAATATATGAAAGCACATGACAGAAAACAGGGTCAGATCCTGTGCTTTGTCTTAATAATAATCTTAGAACTGCAGAGCCGGAAGGGACCCAATGGATCACCGTGTCCAGCCCTTGACAAGGAGACCGAGCGGAGAATCAAACTCCCAACCTCTGGCTCCGCAGCCAGAGACCTAAACCCCTGAGGAGCTACCCAACAGTTAGTGAGGGCAAAGCATGTCTCTACCATTAAGAGACATGCCAGCAAGACTGGTACCAGGATCTAGTATTTATTAGACTTCGCCTATCAGAAAAGCAACCACTCGCTGGTGATACCACCTAAATCACAGGGAGAAAACCTCTGGGGATCTAAATGAAAACAAGACATCAACAGACTCCTTTTCAGAAGCATTCTGAGAATAAGGACTCTGAACGTCCCAAGTAGCCCAGTGGTCTCTACAGAACACGGCCTTGCTTGCTTCACAGCTGCAAAGGGGTGTCTCCTCCTTTAAGCGGCTTCCCCACAAGGGCAGTAAAGCAGGAGGAGAGGCTGCCCTGACCTCCCATTTTTGCCCACGGATGAAACGGAACCAGATGATTTCCCAGACATGCTGCGTGCACACGGGCCTGCCCTTCTCAACCACAGCCCCAGAGGAGTGTATACAAATCGGAAGGTCTGCTCGGTGGGGGGGAAAACACATGAATACCGGGGAATTGTTTCTCTCTTTTCCGGAACCAGAGAAAACATGCATTAACATTTTACGAAGAATTACGAACAAGCCTGAATGTCAGACGGCTAAGGCACATCTGTTTGGCAAAAAGTGGTTTGGTTTAGCATCATGGTTTATAGCAGACCCTAAACGCCCTCCTACCTGCAAGGACACAGCCCAAAGCCACATGCCTGGTGGCTCCCCTCTTCATGATTCCAGACAAGGTCTTTAAATAGTTGGGCTCTCTTTCCAGAAAGCAACGTCCAGTGCAGCTGAGTGCCACTGCACAGCATTCGGTTTCCAGCACATGCGCGTCTTCGCCTCATGCTCTCCTTGGCTTGCTAATACTGGCAAAACAGTGCAGAAACCACCTACCTCTTTTTTTGGGGGGAAAAAAAATTGCCCCATTCCACTCAGCCTGAAGAGCCACTGAGGGAGGGACAGCCGGGTCCCTCTCCAGAACAGAGCAGTGCCTGGTGACCGAGGATTTCACCCACTCCATGGGGGAATGCGGGGTGGGGGAGTCTTTCAGAGCGTCGTGTCATCTTCCTCCCGGGAGTCCCCAACTAGGAGGGAGTGTCTGTCAGGCTCGCTGAGGATGATGCTACTGAGGGAGCGCTTGTCCGAGAGGAGGGAGTTGATGGAAGCCCGGCTGTAGTTCACAAGGCGGTCCATGAGGCTCAGTTTGGGGGACCCTGGCCCCGTTTCATCAATCCCGATGTGTACACTGATCTCCGAAGGGCTTTTCTGTCTCACGTGAGCACTGGCACGCCGTTCGTATTTCTCACAAGTAGGCTTCCTGTACCTAAACGGGGTGTAGGGGAGGGTTGGAATAAATGAGAACCTATCCTCTCTCTCTCTCTCTGCTTCAGATAGGGTCTCACAGGCTGGCACAAGGGCAACAAATCGAACCCCCAACCTCTGGATCTCAAGCCAGAGAACTCACTCACTCAGCTACCCAGCCAGGCTCTCTTGTCTTAATAATAAATAAAAATCATGTGCTGCCAAGTCAGTTCTGATTTATGGTGACCCCTTTCTAGGGTTTTCTAGGCAGAGAGTGCAGAGGAGTGATTTCTCATTCCCTTCTTCTGAAGGCGCCCTAGGGCTGTGCAGCTGGCCCAAGGCCACCCAGGCTGGCTCTACTGGCAGAAGGCCCCGTCGGGGACCTGAACCCCCAACCTCTGGCTCTGCAGCCAGATATTTAACTCTCTGAGCTCTCTAGCAGGAGAAGGATCATCATCTCAGAACTGCAGAGTGGGAAGGGATCATGATCAAGTCCAGCCATGGCCAAGGAGGCCCCGGGAGGAACCCAATTCTCAACTTCTGGCTCTGAAACCAGATCCCTAAACCGCTGAGCGATCTAGCACTCTTCTCTGAGGTATCGGTTTTTAAAGAAATTCGGAAAATAACTCATCCAACAACAGCATTCTCATCATCCCTGGATCTTCTTTCTCTGGGAGCTCATTTTAATCTAAACCATACAAGCTTAGCATTGTTTTAACCTCTGACTGCCAGAATGCAAACCGCAGCCAAAGGGAAATTGAGCGGCATTTATTTCTGTTTATTAAAAGTTGTGAAACAGCAACTCGTGGAAAAGTTTACATCTCAAGGGCACTCTCTCACAGATCAACGCGCGTGTGTGTGTGTGTGCCAACTCAGTATCTCTGAATTCTTAAGGGGCAGCTAGAAGGATGTTTGTAGCCAAGACTGGTACATTTTCCAATTCTTTTTACTATGACGCTTCTTCTTGTGGGCTTATTTGTAAGTCAAATACTGGGCTGTGTGCCCATGAAAACACACATGCTGTTTATATATTCTTACGCATATTTTTTTTTAAAAGAACAACAGATAAATTGCCCGCGGGCATGTGCTATACTTACAGTTTCAGCAGCAGAGAAGACAACACGACAGACACAGATGACGCTGCCATGGCAGCCGAGCCCATCCACGGCTGCAGAACCAAACCGATGGGAAGAAAGACACCTAAGGAGGACACTGGCCGTCACTGAAGCACCACACTCAGACCTTCAGACGTAATTATGGATGCAGGAAGGACAAAGCATCTCTTGACTCTTAATTATTATTAGCCATACAGGAAAGAGGCTTGCTTAAGGACTCGCAAGCTAGCAGACTGCCTTGTCTTCTCTGCACTGGGCCCAAAGCTAAGATATTTCTCATAGGCCTTGTTGTATTGCCCCCCTGCCACCACTAACCACATGAAACTAAGCTTGGGAAAATGTGAAACAGGCATCTCAGTTATGGAACCCACTCAAAACATCAGGCCTGAATTAAAGGAGTCATTGGCTGCCTTCTCTTCTTAAATCAGGGGATTTTTTTTTTCATGTACAATAATCTACATTTATTCAAATACAGTCCTGTCATCTTCTGGTTGCTGCACAATGGTGGCAGGTGGGATTTCACTTAACTGGGGCTTATTTTAGGGTTAGAGCTTATATTACGAACATCCTGAAAGCCATACTAGGGCTTCTTTTCAGGTTAGGTCTTATTTTCGAGGAAACAGGGTTATATACATACATACCGGCAGCCACAGGAACACCCACAAGATTGTAAATGAGAGCAAAGATAAAGTTGACTCGTATCCTCCGGACCGTCTTCCGCGACAGATCGATACTGGCTACCACGTCCAGCAAATCATTCTGGCAAACAAAGCATTTGTTAAGACATGTTAGCCAAGGATGATGATCCGACTCTAGGCTGCTTTCAGTTTCTAAATTGGACCAAGCCAAAGAGGGGGCGCTTCTGAGCCATCCCCTGATAAAGAGAGAGGCCCAACTTTCCAGGCAATTAGCCCAATGAAGCTCCCACTTCGGGGCTCAGTGTGAGTCCAGATACCAGGGCTAAAGGCACGGATCCCATCCCGCCTTATCCTTCCAAAAGCCAGAAAGCAGCCACCTACCAGCTGGGCACAACCTCTCTTACCTGCTCCCTCCCCCCCTGTGGGCCCAATCCCACCACTGACCCGGATCAAAACAACATCTGCCGCTTCGATGGCCACATCCGTGCCGGTGCCGATGGCGATCCCAACACTGGCCATGGCGAGGGCGGGGGAGTCGTTGATCCCGTCCCCCACCATCGCGACCCGCTTCCCTTCGTCCTGCAGCTGCTTCACTTTGGCAACTTTGTGGGAGGGAAGCACTTCGGCAAACACTTTAGTGATGCCAACCTAGACGGAAAGCAAGGGCGAAGCAACCGTCAGAAGGCTCCAGAGCAACCGTAGGGCCAGAATTGTCTGGAATCACGGAATAAAGGGCTGCTGCAGTTTGGTGAAATCAGGACTCTCCTAAAACAAGATGGTTTGGCCTGAAGTATGTAAATCAACATTTTAAACAGCAACAAAGGTTCCAGGCCTACACGAGAACCTGCGCATTCAAGAAGCTTAGGCGTGTGAAGTGGTGAGGCTGAACTGCAAGGCTACCCGTAACATAACGATTCAGGAGCTCACAGTTATTTGAATGGATTTTCCTGAACTGGAGTTTAGCATACAGAGGTGGGTAGGTGGGTGTGATGCTTTCATGGCCTAACCAACGAACAGGAACCAGATGTCTGAGAAAACATGGTCAGTTCCACCATCTTTGCATCTCACACATACTGCACCCATTTATTTCTTAAACTATCATTCGATAGCTTTGGTCTCTGCAGGTATTAGGACCATGAATGGAATCCAAAAGGTAGAGCGACTTACTTGAGAGGCGATAGACCGAGCCGTTTTGCTGTTATCGCCGGTCATAAGAACTACTTCTAAACCCATTGCCTTCAAAGTACGGACCGCCAGCTCTGCTTCAGGCTTCACAGTATCAGCGATCGCTATCAAGCCACAGAGTTCTCCTAGACAGACATCAAGAACCCAGGAACATGAATCATTGCCTCCATTTTTGGAGGGTACAGAAAATCTGTTTGTAAAAGTCCCTCCCTCCCTCTCCTTCCTTCCTTTCCTTCTTTTTCTACCTCTCTGTCTTTCGCTCTCCCTCTCTTATTTCTCCTCTTTTCCTTTCTATCCCTCCCTCTTTTCCCAGGCATAGCTAAAACTCCAGTCAGATTTCCCCCCATGTCCTAAACCTGCTTATATCTGATTTAGCATGTTTGGCATGTAAGCTCAGTGAAGAAAACTTTAGAAGTACCCCACTTGATCTACAGGTGCTGTACACATCTCATCAGATTTCAACAGAAACACTTGAACTGATCATTTCGATGTTGGGATGCAATGGATAAAGCACACTCAGTAGCCCAATGAATTAGGTCTCTGGCTGCAAAGCTAGAGGTTGGGAGTTCAATTCGCCCCCTGAGCATCCCAGTAGAACAGTCAGCCTTGGTGGCCTTGGGCCAGCTGCACCGTCCTAGAGCACCCTTGGAAGAAGAAGGGAAGGGGAAACCACTTCTGAGTATTCTCTACCTAGAAAAGGCTGACAAGGGCCACCGTAAGCCAGAACTGACTTGACGGCACGCCACCGCCACCACAACGTGTACACTGATTAGGCCACTCATTGTATGCAATGTATCTTTGGAGCTGGAATTTTTCAACAGAAAAACACAGCAGCAGAAAAATGCCTACCCGACATGACAGCTTCATATACAAATGTTTCCCATTTACCCTTTCTGCCTGCATTCCGCCTCATCTTGTCACTCTAAAACACTGAAAACTTCATACATAAACCAAGCCCCAAACTTACCATCCACGGCCACAAGAACAGCCGTGCGCCCTCGACGCTCATGCTCAATCATGGTGTTATCAATATCATTTTTGACCAGAAGGCCGTTTCTGGACATCCACTCCCGGTTGCCAATGAGAACGGAATACTTCCGAGAATTCCACGCGGCTGAAAAGAAAACAGGATTGCCCTTATGCTCCAAATAAGTAATAGTGCCACTTAGGCACGCTTACTTTTGCTGGAACTGTGATTCATCCTTAAGTAGACCACCGCAAGGGAGACTAGGTGTGTGGTCAGCGTTATCCAGAACGAGCACACATGCATCCAAGCTACAAGAGCAAAGAATGGTGTGGTGCAATTTCAACGGGACCGTGTTGTTTCACATTTAGGGTAATGGCATGTTTAATTCTATTCCCATCATCAAATAAATTCCACACACCCGCTTTCAACCTGTGGAATGAAGCGATCCTGCCCAATAAGAAGCGCGGCACAACCTTCTCCCCCGTGAATGTCTTGGCTTTTATCCAAAGCCAGTGCCCTGTTCTGTCCGCCATGGATTTGCAGGCTCTGCCTCTGCTAGCTCTTCCCTCCTCCTCCTCCTCCACCACCCCAACTGCTGGAACCAAAGGGGAGCCACAAACCAGGCATCCGTTGGATGCGACTCCTGCCTTTCCACTTACTTGGCAGCTGCTCGTCAATAATCAAGGCCGGCTGTGTCTGTTCTGCAGCCATTTCATCAATGCTGACAAGGGCTACGTTTCTCACATTGTTTTCTTCGACTGTCTCACTTCTGCTCCTTAGGAGGGTTTCAATATTGGTGACTTTACACCGAATGCCACAACCAGGGACCACCTGAAAATCAGTGCAGGTTCCAAGGGTGTCTGTGTTCAATTCCTAAAGAGAAGGAAAAGTCAACGGAGGCTTGAAAGATACCGACGGCCCTAGGCTGGAAAAAGCCCACCTTACGGAAAAGCACCATCTCCAACTTTTGAGATTGCAACTTGGTAAGGTGAGAAAATAAAATTTTTTTTGAAAACGACATATTTTCTAATCTTCACAAATCAGAGTAACAGACAAGACACTTCAGAAAATCAGTATGTTAATCTAGACCATTCAGAATTAAGTACAAAGAGGTGTATGGACATTAATAGGTACATTAACCCTGACATGGGGTTAAAATGGTTATCCCCCTTTTTCCCCCAAGTAGCTCACAGCCACCTTCCCTCCCCTTGTCATTTTCCATAGTAATCCGATGCACTGCATTAAGACTGAGGGAGAGCAAGAGGTTCAGGATCACCGACTGGGCCTCATCAGCAAGCCCTGCTTGGCCCATTTCAAAGCCAGCCCTCTGATCTGTACTTATTTGCCACTTTCTCACTCAAAGAACTCAAGGCAGGATATGTCACTCCCTCTTTAGTCATTACATGACTTCCCAGTCATAAACCCACTTGAGGCAATTGGGAACCAGTACTAACTACCTAGGTGACCATGAGAATTTTATAGCTTTTTTGAAATGTCAGATGAACTGGAAATAATAAGTAAAAGGAAAAGAGGCACTTCGCTTGCGCAACTGAAAGGCCCAAACCGCCAAGGTCCACCAGAGTATGCAAGCATCTGGCCAAGGACTCTCTCGATGCTTTGTCTGAACGATGCAAAACATCCTCTACCTGTTTGCAGTACTTTGTGATAGCTGCTCCCAAAGGGTGCTCGCTGTTGCTCTCCGCAGTCCCGACCAGGGCCAACATCTTACTGCGTGGGATCCGGTTGCTTTCCACCAGCATCTTCAGTTGCATCACCATGGGGGTCCCATGGGTGATGGTCCCCGTCTTGTCAAACACCACCACTTTCACCTGCCGCAAGACACGGCCCCACATTAGGGGACAGACCCTCAGGAAGGGGCAGGATACACGGTGGGAATTCTGAGCCGAGGCGGGAGAGTCTCGTCACCCCATGGACCGCAGCCCTCCTGGCCTTTGCGCAGGCTCCATGGGAAGGGACGAAAGAAACCCGTCAGGTTCGTTACCTTGTGCGCCATCTCGAGAGGCTCTCCGCCTTTGATCAGGATGCCGTTTTGGGCTCCCACGCCGGTGCCCACCATCACGGCAGTTGGCGTGGCCAGTCCCAAGGAACAAGGGCAGGCGATGCACAGCACCGTGATGGAGGCTTGGAATGCAAAGCGGATCACCACTTCAGCTTTGGAAATACTCTTGTTGTAGCCCTGTGGGTCATAAAGAAGAAAAAAAGGACAGCAGGCCTAAGCAGAGGCTCATTCACAAATCCTGAACTGGCAGGCCACTCGTATCAGCTCAATTCCAGCATCACACCAAGGCATGTTCAGGGAAACTCAGCTATGGCTTCAATGTGACCTCTCGGCAGAACATCCGACTGTACAACTGGCTGGTACAGAAGAATACCAAAGATGAACATGGATTTGCAGGCTATAATTTAGGGCCATGCCTGAATTACCATAGAACGGCAAGAGCCAGAGCCAGAAAAAGTTACTTTTCGAACCATAGTAATCAGAATCCCATTGGCTGGCCTCCATCTCATTTAGATGCATTAGGAAGCTCTAAATAAAGGGCTGGCCTATTGTATGCTAAGCAGAACAATGATTTCCCATGACAGCTGCATTAGGGAGGTAAATCTTAGGAAGGAAAGCTTGTAAATTAAACAGCTTTTAGAGGACATTTCTTGAGAAAAATGCCAGAAGAAGAATTATTAGGAACTTACCGGAAAGTAGGTTTCCACGATTTCAAAATTAACAAATCCAATTACAATCCAGGCAATAAGGGTTATCACAGAAACACCAACAATAAAAGGGACAAAATAGCCACTGAGTTTGTCAGCAAACTGCTGAATTGGAGCCTATAAACAAGAAAGGGTGAAAGAGAGAAAAGAAAGTATGTTACTTTTTACAGATTCCATGAGCATTGAGGTGTTTGGGCCCTGGGTCTTGGCCTACTGCCTACACATTTGTAATAAACAGGAAACAGACTTTAGAAACTGCACTTTTTAAAAATCCCTGATGACAGTTTTCAAAATTCTGATGCAAAGTCTTCTAAGAGTTTTGCTATAACAGTATTTGACTTCGCCAAAGCAGACGGTTTCGGTTTTGGAATACCGAAGCCCAGAATGAGGAAGAAGAAGCTTGGAAATTATCAGCAATTTCTAATCAATTTGACTCTTGGCATCAATGTGTGGGGATTTTGAACCTAGACATAGAGTTGACCCAAGAAAGCAGGAGGAGACCTTCTCTTCCTCTCTCAGGCAGCCCACCGCGTCTACCTTGGAGGTCTGTGCTTCTTCCACCAGCTTGACAATCTGGGAGAGGGTGGTGTCAGCGCCCACGTGGGTGGCGGAGATCAGCAAGGACCCATTCTGATTGATGGACCCTGTAATGACGGTGCTGCCGGGCTTTTTTGTGACGGGCATCGCTTCCCCTGAGAAAACGGAAGGAGAGCAAAGCATCAGAGGGCCTGCCCTTGCCTCCTTTTCTCCTAACCCCACACTCACAAGTCGCCTTTCCCTTCCCTTGCCCACTCCCTCCCTGAGGGAGAGGTTTGCCTCCAAACAGGCACACGCATGGGAACTTGCGCGCGTGTGCATAGAGCTTACCTGTGATGAGAGATTCATCCACCATGGAGTGCCCTTCAATGACACGGCCGTCTACTGGAAACTTGCCACCCGGGACCACTTTGACAAGGTCACCCCGCTGGACCAGTTCCACATCCACCTGCTCTTCACTGTGAACAGGATATGGAAAGCCAACCGTCAGCCGTGCAGTTGGGTTTTTCTGCACATCATGTGACCTTCCCCTCCAAAGTCTGCTTTCAAAACCCTCCTCTTCCGCAAAGGTTTTGACCCATGTCCTCAATCCCGGCCCTTCTACAAGACAGAGCTCAACGAGGAGCAACTGAACCTCTGCCTGGTCCTGCTTTGCCCTGCTGGCGCCCTGGCTTCGTCTTTCCCTAGATCTTAAAGGCTGGATGGCCAGTTCTTTGTAGGTTTCCACAAAGGGGCTGGCCGCTCACTTCCTTCACTCCGTTAAGTGCAACACACATGGACGGCGACAGGAAGAACCCATGGAAATCAGCAAGGACAGAACAAGTAATGTTTCAGTGTTGCCCCTCAACCTAAAAAGGCTTTTAAAAAACTCCATAAAGTACCTCAAAAGGATGTTGTCTGGACCTAAAGTCACAATAGTGGCCTCTGTTGCTTGTAGAGAAATTAGCTTTGCAAGGGCTTCAGATGTTTTACCCTAGAGGGGGGAAAAGCCACCGCATTTTACATTCATATCGTAAGACATTATTCCCATGTTACACATTTTCTGTAAAAAAAGCTCATTGTGACAGCCAACCAACGAACACACACACAGAGACACACACACACACAAGGTATTTACCTTGGCGACGTGCTCCAGCCACCGCCCCAGGGCTATGAACACAAACAGCATGGGCGGTGTGTCGAAGAACGTCACCGGGTTGACTTTCGCCTTCTCGACCATGGCCACCAGAAGCACCACAAAGGAATAGACAAAGGCAATGGTGGTGGCCAGGACAATCAAGACGTCCATGTTGGCCGTCTTGTGCTTCAGGGCTTTGTATGCTTGGATGTAGAAATGCCAGCCTCCAATGACCTGGAAGGGGGAGGAAAGGGTCTCAATGCTATTCCGTACCAAAACCCAGAAAAAGCTGAACCGGGCTTTAAAGGAGCCATGATGAAGAACCAGAGCGGATCTGCATTTTCTCTTTTCCTGCGCTGTGTTCAAGAAACGCTCCCCTGTCAGGGGGCTGACCCAGACTCAGACAAAAGATGCCAGGCTACCCAGAAAAATCCTACAGAGGCCCAGCCTCAAGAAACCTCTCAAACAGGGACAAAAAGGCTTTAAACCTTTACTTTTGCTGTACAACTGTAGTCCATACAAAGTGAAGCAAAGGTTGGGACATGCCCTGCGACCGGCAGGGCCAGCCAGGACAGCCGACAGCCAGGAATCCTGGGAGATCCTGCACAACCACACCCAGGGAGCCATTCTTAGCCCTCTCAAACGAACACTGGCATGGCCATGTTTTTCTTCCACTCACCTGAACAGGGACGCACAAGACGAAGGAAAGCAAATTCATCACGGAGAGCCCAGGAAGGATCTGGTGCTCCAGGAACATGGACGAATGATGGGCTTCCATTTGTTCTTTGGTCAGGTTTACGGCCTTGTCCATGGCTGACATGTGGCTCTCCATCACCATCATGTAAATCATGAGCCCCATTACAGGAATGCAAAAAAACAGGCTGACAAGGAAGGACCGCTTCCATCTAAAATAACAAGAGATCGCTGAGAAACCCACCACAATGAGGGAAATCATGCAAAGCTTGAAGTGGCATTCTAGCATCTAGCGCTCTGGGCATGGCAAGAAGTATTCCGTGGACTTTGTAAAACAAAACCCGACCGCTTCCATCTAAAATAACAAGAGATCACTGAGAAACCCACCGCAATGAGGGAAATGACGCAAAGCTTGAAGTGGCGTGGTATACGGGACTCCGGTTCTAAGATCTAGTGCTCTGGGCATGGCAGGAAGTATTCTGTGGACTTCATAAAACAAAACCTAAAGGTGTCAAAGGTGCTACTATAGAAGTTCAAAATTGAACAACTATACAAACAGAAGAATATCAGCTACTACATTTGACACTGAACGTGCTAAGAGTATAACTACTGGCCCTTGAGAACAAAATTACATATTGGATTCTCCATAATTTCAAATGAAATTTCAGCATAGAGTTAAAAAATAATAATACTGACCGCCTTATTTCCTGTTTGTGATCTAGGTGGCTTGCAGATCTATCTTTCTTCACCAATTCAGCATTAAACCCTAAATCCTAAAAGGGAGATATGTTCATTTCAGCATGAAAAGCTTGCACCTCAGTTCTTTTGAAGAAAACAAAGCAGGTCCTGCAAATCTCCATTCTGACCATCACAGATATATAATGTAACAAAACCCAGTGCATAAGCTTGGCATCTAAATCTGAGATTTAAGAGACTTGGATGTGACCAGGAGACTGATTCCAATGACCATTGCACACAGACACCACAGTAGCAATGTGGACGTGAGAATTTCTGCGGTAAGTGGGAAACCAGGTTTAAAAAATGCATAACCCATTCTGGCTGCCATCACTGCCGAACTCCACTGGCAGCAACGGCAGCAGCTGCAAACATATTTATCTTAATATTTACATTTTTACATCTTGGATTTTTGCATGTTTATTGGTTCTATTGTTTTTAAATTGTAATGCCGCCCAGAGTAGACCATTGGTCTAGATGGGCGGGATATAAATCCAATAAAATAATAAATAAAACATGGGTGGGACATGAGTGTAGATGCAGCTCATGCAATAAGTACACAAGAGGAAGAAGCAAAGAATCAAAACAGAAAAGCATGGATGCCAGAACGGCCTCAATGCTGGCATCTTGAGGGCTCACGGAGCAATCAACAATCATCTGAAACTGCCCCCCAACCCCTTTGCCCAGAGTTCATTCTCTCCTGGAGAGTCCCTCGCTTTCAGCTAGATGGACTTTTAGAAACCAATGTAAACAGCATTCATCAGGGCGCTTACCTCTATGATCCGTATAATATTGCGAGGACCGACTATCTCTGGATCATACTTAATGTGTGCTTTGTTGGTGGCGAGAGCCACTGAACTGTACAGAACCCCCTTTGTTTTCATCAGCGTGGATTCTATTTTATGGACACAGGAAGCACATGTCATTCCTCTGACCTATTGAAAAAAAGAAGTTTTAATGGTTTGCAAAACATTGCCCAAGGAATAGTTCTGCGTATATTATAAATAATGAAGTTTAGTGTAAACATAACGAATTCAGTATTGATCCTATAATTGTTTTATTGCACTGTTTTCACCTCTACACCCCGCAGGTACTGCTACACAAGCACAGAAAACCAATTTTGCAAATCGAGACATGCATTAAGAATCCAAAGCTCCGTGGACAGCAGAAAGTACTGCGGATCCACTAGACTCCGGATCAGATACGCCAACCTCCAATTAAAAACTGTGGCCCCTTCTGACGAGATATTTCAATAGCTGCCAGTTTGCCACCTGCCACCACTGGCATCCTGGGGTCCCAATGGACCAAAATAAAAAACAAAATTCAGGAGGACCCCCCTCTCTCTGGTGCCAACAAGAGCTTCCATCCCAGAAGGAAGTGGGAGAGAATGTATTTTGCTCGGGACTGTGGTCTCATCCTGCTCCTCATAACCTCAGTCGTACCCTTTGCCTTTCCCAAACAGGCCACTTCGAGCTGCTGGTTCTTAAAAACATGCATGCTATTAACTGCCTTTGCTGACACGTCATAAAACCCTATTGGGATTAACTCACAGTGGAAAGGCTTTGCATACACAGCCACAACAGAATAAAAATGTGCATAGGAAAGCTTGACCGTCACCAGCTCCCTGTATTCCAATATCCAGGGCCTTCCTTATCTAGGCCCTGGAGAGGGTCACAGGTAATCTTAACAATGTTTCAGCTTCAGCACGATGGCTGTGTGTGCTTGACCCCCGTGCCCTTGCATTTCAACAGCTGACCGCTTCTTTGGTCACAGCTGAGCTTCCTGTCTCACCCTTTCATAAACAATCAGCTGTCGGACCCTGCCGGGAAGACCCAGGTTCAATGTTCCTTTTTAACAAGAAGTTGAAGAAGGACACAGCAAAAGAAAGCACCTAGAAATGGAAGTCTGTAGTAACAATACTGGGGAAAACGAAAATCAAAGACAAGACACAATTGGGTCTAGCACAGACGACGCTGAAATTGGGGGAAAAGAAGCACAGAAAAGCCAAACAGATGTAATCTGACCTTTAAAAACATGAATACTTTGTAAAAGCCAAAAAGAGACAATTGCACTGTTTACAGGAAAAGTGAGATGGCCAGTGGCTGAAATCTTATACATACTCGAGTGAGCACCACTGGACTCAACAAGATATTCTAGTAAACATGCATAAGATCCACCTGCGATTCAACTGATGCACTTCCACATTTTAAGGGGAATCACAAAGTTAAGCTTTAGAAGATTGGCTCGAAATCTTTGCAGCCCTACTAGAACTCTCAAAGAAAAAGTGAGATGGACCACTTTAAATGAGGTAGAAGTTTTCAATTCTCTCTCTTTCTCTCTCTCACTCACACACACACACATTCAAAATGACTTTTGAAAAAGGTTGCATGCTTACCACAAGTTCTAGGGAGCCATCTCCATCACAGTTTTCCAGGACTGTGGCACCAAATCCCAGCTCCCTAATCAATTCTGCTACCATTGGTGGCTGGATGATTGCAGGATTATACCTCACCTCTGCCTTTCCAGCCATCAGGGCAACAAGTACAGAGAATATTCCTAGAAACACAGAGCCGTACATTGTAACATTTAGTGACAAATGTATAACATACAGAAAGATATACAGTATTCTGCAATATAGAGTATAATATATAGTGGACTGACCTAAGTGAATATATCTGTATTAAGACTAGAATAGAACAGCAACAATGGAACACTGGTTGACATAACTTGCAACAACCAAAGGATGTGATTATTTTTCATAAAAAGAGACCCATCTGCAACAGTTACAAAGACCTTTCCCTTACCATGTTTACAACTGGCAAATAAAAGCAAGACACAAATACTGGAATGAGTAAATAAGTACTTCCATAATGTAAACTGAGTTAACATACAACATGGGTGAATGAAGACAGTTTTTGTAGTTTCACAAACATGAAGATATTATTATCTTTTCTTTTTAGGCTATCTGGACACTGTGTATGTTAATCAAGCACTCTGAAGAGCGCAGTCAGTTATTTGAGAATTAAATCACAAATCAATTAAACACCAAGTAGCAACAGTCATAAATTCCAGAACACTGAGAGACTGGACTTCTGTATGAAAAGTCATTAGCCACCAGAGGAGCAAAGAGGAAGAAATAGAACCCGTCAGCTTTTAAAGTCGATATTGTCTGAATATTGTGAAATGTGAATACGATTCACCTACCAAAGGCTACTTATATCACTGTCTCTCAACACCATCCCAAACACAGCACACCCTCCCCATCCTTGACAAACAAACAAATAAACAAACCCCATCGAAGTCAGCACCTTTACCCAAAGGGCCTGCCCAAGCAATTCCCTAAGCTTGGTTTTTAAGAATATTTCTCACCATCTTCTCTCTTCAGATTCCTTTCAATATTTGCCACGCAGGAAGCACATGTCATGCCTGTGACTTGAATGTAGCATTTTGATGGTGCCTTTGCATCCTGCTTATTATGGGTGGGCGACAAGTTGGAGGAGGCTTCCAGTTTGGAGAATTTCTTATCCTGAGGTTCTGCAAGTCTCCCCTGCGATGGTTGAGTTATCAAAACCACAGGTTCTGTGCTTGCTGGTACTGAGAACAGAAGACAATTACCGTAAAATGGCTTTTAATAGCTTTTCAAGCTACTATAGTTCTTGAGACAGTAAAGTCATCAATTTCACAATGAGGGAAATCTCCTAATATAAACATTCCTAGTTCAAAAAAACATAATCCTGTTCCAACTCAGTCTCGCCACTTTGAATCCCAGGAAGCAGATAAAGCTACAAGTCCCACATATTCCTTGCAGGAAAATTACAATTCATATTGTGGTCTCCAGTTAATGCTTGGCTCTAACAAGTTCATCAGAGTTTTAACACCAAATAGAAAGGGTCTCGAGGGTTCTGGTTCAAGGACTATCAAGGAAATCAAGAAATGGCCACCTTTTCAGTTTGCCTCTTCTTCAAAATTTCTTAGCAACCACCAAAACCACCTAAAGATTTATACATTTTCCCAAAGAAGTCTGGAAAAACAACACACCTTGTTTTTTGAAAAGGCAAATTGCTTACTGAGACCAAGAAATACCAATGCTTCAAAATCTGTATTCCTGAGATTGCTATTACCCGGTAGCTTTGGACAATCCCTTCCTAGGAAAGCTAGCAATGGCACGTGTCTTTCGGAATTCTAGAGAGGTGTTACCTGTTAAGGAAACCTCAAAACCCATGTCCTCAATGGAGTTCCTTAAGTCATCTGGAGAAGTCAGCATGGGGTCATATTCGATAGCTGCGTTATGGTTCTGAAGTGACACACATATGGACTTCACGCCTGGTTTTTGGGATATCACGCTCTCAATAGACTGCACGCAAGAATTACAAGTCATTCCTTCTACATTTATCATGGTTACGCTAATCAGAGGGTGATGCATGGTGCTGTTCATAGCTCTTTGAGAGTTCAATGGAGATATTGGGCTGTTCAGAGGTTCTACATTCTCATGTCCGTCCAAAAGGCTGACCTTAAAAGTCTCTGGGGACACAGCCTCTATGGCTCTTTTCAGTGCAGCAATGCCGATTAGGCTAGGATTGTACTTTACAACAGCTGATTTGTCCTCTAAAGATACTACAATGCTAGTTACTGAAGGGAGTGCTGAGATTTGATGTTGGATGTTGGCGACACAAGATTGACAGTGCATGCCATCAACCTGGAACCTGACAGTCTTTAAGGGGAGCAAATCTTCCGGACTCCCTGGTTGAGCTCTTTCGGAGCCTTTGGTCTGTGCCTTCTTCAGTCGCTCTACGTCGATAGCACCAAGACTGAGGGGTTTAGGCGGCTTCTTCACAGATGCCATGAAACCTGCAGCTTCTATTTGGGTTTTTATTTCCTCTGCTGTGATGAGATGTGGCTGGTACAAGACCACTGCTTCTTGATTGTCCAAGGAGACTAGAAGGAAAATGGAAAAACATCACTAGGCTTCCCTTACGATAATCCATATACATTCTTTATTTAGACCCATGAGTCAGACTGCCAGGGGTGGGGTCTAGCTTTCATCATGGGAACATGGGAAGTGCTGACCCTGGTGGCATGTAAATACAATGGTGTCGTGCAATACAGGCAGTTCAATTCCCCACGGTGCCTTCCCAGGAGAAGACCCAGTCTGAGTGGGAAGCTGACCAGCATCAGAGTATCCACAGAAGAAGGGAACAGTAAACCACTTCTGAATACTTTATTTCTAGAAAACCCTGGAAAGGGTCTCCATACATCAGAATTGACTTAAAGGTCCATCATCATCACCTGCTGGAGAGCTCAGTGGTTTAAGTATCTGGCTGCAGAGCCAGAGGGTGGGAGTTCGATTCCCCCACTGGGCCTCCTTGATGATCCGTGGGGTCCCCTCCCACTCTGCAGTTCTAAGGTATTATTACACATTTTACATGCCATTTTACAATTTCTAAAAATATTCTTTCTCTTTGGCAGATGTATAAACTTGTGTCTGATTTCTGAACAGCTATTAAACGGCCAGTTTACTATTAGAAGGAAGATCAATTATATAGCGCTACTCATGTGCATGATTTATGACAGTAACAAGAACTGAGTAGTACACAAACTAGAATTTAGCAGAAGGGCAAAGGAGAGGATAAACAAGGGAAGATCAGGTTGAGTTACTAACAGTTTCAGTGCAGGATGAGAGAATAAAGAAATGGCGAAAAACGTTTTTAAAGGGAAGCCTTTTGAGTTAAATCCATACTCTCGAAGGCATTCCACTTACCTTTAATCCGTGTCACCCCTTGTAGCTTGCCAATCTTCCCTTCAATGGTGCTGGTGCAGGAATGGCAGGTCATCCCCTCTACTTTCATCCTCAGCACAACATCGCCCATTTGGGATGTATTTGCCTCTTCCGACGTTCCCAGATTTTGCTCCTGTGTTGCATTATCTGAACACAACGCTGGCACTATTTCGCTGACTTGCTTGCTGTTTATGACAGAGGGGATGAATGTTACAGCTAAAGATTTTCCATCGAAAGAGTTTTTCACATCCAAGATGCCCTTATTCTTCAAGAGGCTGGCACGGATCTCTTCACATGTTAAAGCTGCTTGAATAGGCACTGAAAGGAAAACAGTGTCTGCCAAAATGACACAGGGGTTTGCATCAGCAAGATCCGTGTCATAGCCCATGTTATCTATGGCTTCTTGCAATGCCTCTGGAGTTTGTTCTCGGGGGTTGTAAATAATGGTTGCATTCTTAGCTCTCAGGGAAACCTTGCAAGGAAACAGAAAAATACAAATCAGTCAGCTTAGCCAAACAAAAACTAAAATCCTCTTAAAGTAGCATTAATGGATCAGGCAGCTTGGTCTTATTATTGTGACACCTGGCATAGTCATTTCAACCACCTGAGAAGGAAGCACAAGGCAGTATACCTATGAAACCACAAATTAACTCGGATTTATCTGTAACACAAGAGCACTGTTAAAAGATGATCCGTAAAGGGAAAAATGCCAGATAGGACTGAAAACGTGACACAGCTTCTTACTCTCACTTACTAAAACGGTACAGAACTTTAATATTTTTCTTCCATTTGTGTCAATCAGAGGTGAATCAGGAGGTGGAACATGTACTTCAGGATACAACCAAGCAGTGATTTCCTCTTTCCCACCCTGATCAAGTCTTGCTAGATAAGCAAATCCTGCTGTTCCTGGAAACCATGTAAATGACACGGTTCCTCCATGAAATATAGCACACACCTAATAGTCCTCCAGTTCTTCTCTTCTGAAAATATATAGCATAGGAGAGCTGACATTCGAACATGACCCTTTGATGATTCGGACAGAATAGGGAAAGAAAAAGAAAAAAAGAAAGAAAACCAAGCAAAGCTCCTATCAATGACAAGCAGCAGAAACATTTTATCTGAACTTTGAGAGCCAGATTGTTTTGCTAACGTCATGAGCTACTCGCATACGACACAACAAACATAAGAACTCTGAATTGCCTTTCTGCCAGAAGAATCACTCTCCCAGTTTTTCTAATTTCTGAAAGGGCAGAACGACGCCACTGAAAAGCCCATTACATTAACGTCTAATTTTATATTTTCCTCGGGCAAAACCCAACCTGGAAACCATGACTGTGATCCAATTACACAGCCTAATATATTTAAGTACCATAGCCTCTCTGTTCTGCCTTTGGCCTAAAGTACCACTGATTGATTTGCTCGCAATTATTTGTCAGACAATGAAAATGCAGACTCTCTGAAACCGCATTAAACATGAAGTCGCCCTGTCCTGAAGCCTATTGAATACTATTTCCAAAGTGGGAACCTGCCCCCATCGCACCTCGCAAGTGGCGAGAGAAACTATGAGGGCATCCAGATTACACTTCTTGCCAGATTCCTTGCCACCTTCCGTTTAGCCCACGATCTAGAACAACAACATGTAATGTTACCTACTTTAACTTCATGAACGCCTTTTAAATTAACAACGTGCTTCTCAATAGCCTCCGCACAAGAGTTGCATGTCATTCCCTCCACACAAACAACAATTGACCGGGCACCCGATGTTGGATCCATTCTGAAGGCAGCTTGGCGTTCCTGTAAGTTAGAACAGAAAAACCAAGGCACAAATGAAAAAGGTCTACAAGCAGCATTTCTCCTCAGGCAAAGGACAGCCTGCAGAAGAACTCCTGGAACACTGGGCAACTGAACCTATTTATTGGATGTTGGTGCTTTAGACAAAAAGACTAACCCAAAACTTCTCCCCACCTCCAGACATAGCCAGTGACAGGTTAAAAAACGTTCCACTCTATGCTTTGCTAATGAGTCTCTTCACATTACCTACCAGGAAGTATATGCAGCAGTTTTATATAGGAATAATAATAATCTTAGAACTGCAGAGCTGGAAGGGACCCAATAGATCATGGAGTCCAGGCCCTGCCAGGGAGGCCTGGGGGGGATCAAACTCCCAACCTCTGGCTCCACAGCCAGGGACCTCAGCCCCTGAGCAGTCCAGCAGTTTTCATACATTCTCTTAAATGCTAATCTCTTCCATGACAGCTCTGGAGTAACCTCCTCACCCTCATACCGAGTTACCTCCAGTTGTAACCAAGCTCGAGTATACTAAACCACATGAGTTCAAACCATCCTCCCTTTTCTCTCAATTGGCTTCTGAACATCAAGAACCAGATTCAAACAAAGCACCTTTCTTGCTTACAAACTCTTCCAAGTGCCATATATTCTGGCACCAGCAGAAACGGACAGACCGAGGCTGGTTTTGATTTTTTTCCCCACACAATCCCAGACCTTCCAAAAACAATGGTACGATGCCAAAGTGAAACCAAGAACGTTTAGTTCCAGGCATCAAGAGTTGCTACTGCTACCCTCAGTCACTGAAAAGTTATTTGCACAATGGCCATTTGAGGAAGTCTGTGAAGTAGGGGCTGTAGGTTACAAGAGAAGAATGCTGGACAAATGAAAGGCCTTACAAATGTCCATGTCAATTGACTTAAAGGCTAGCATGACAGAGAAGTCTTGTTCAGGGATATGAAAGATACGATTTTACAACCAGAAGCAGAGTTAGTAGGACAACAGGAAGGAGAGAGGCTCCCCTTAGGCACACACCTCACAAAGAGTCAACATGACAAGTTAAAAAGAATAGGATTTTAAACGTGTCTTTTGTACAATCCCAGGATGAACTCAATTAGTTGAGCATGCCATAGAAAATAAACCAGGGGATAGATGAGGATCCAGGGGCATGCATGACTTTGCCCATTAAAAAAAGGTGGTAGAACAGGAAGTAGAGGGAATGCTAAAACTAGGAGTGATAGAACCTTCCTGTCACAGTCCATGGGAAAGGCCACTGGTCTTCATCCCAAAACATGGCATCCATTTTTGTACAGTTCATAGAAGATTTAATGGAGTGTCTAAATTTGGTGCCTAAAATTGGCAAGATACTGGAAAAATTGGGGAGAAGCCTGTTTCTTAACCTCCCTAGATCTTGCTAAGGGACATTGGCAAATGCTCTTCAGGATCCAAGGTAAAGAGAAAACAGCCTTCTCTGCCCCTAAAGGACTTTTTCAATTCATACATATGCCTTTTCCGTTGCAAGGTGTGACAGCCACCTTTCAAAGACTGATGGATTACATACTGCAACCAGTACAAAAGTTTGATGCAGCATATATTAATGATATTATTATTTTTCGTTTACTTTGGGAGGAGCATCTGAGTCACCTTTGTCAGGCAGCGACAGAAATTGCAAAAGGCAGGTCTCACAGTTGGCCCCGCTAAAGGTAAGATAGCACAATCTCAAGTACAGTATCTATGCTTCCAAGTAGGCAGCAGGTTAATCAAGCCAATAGATTATAAAGTTACAAAGGTCTTGGCGTGACCAATCCCCAAAACTAAATGTGGGTTCATATCACATTTTGCAATTGCAACTGCATCCCTTACAGACGATACTTGTAAGCGCGTCCCTAAAGCAATCAGGTGAGGATCTAAAGAATGAGATTGCCCCTTCTCCACTCCTGCCATCCCCAACCAGCCCATAGAAGTGGTAGAAGTTCCAAAAGCCTGGACACAACTTTATGCCTTTTCAAAAAAGTTGGCCTAACAAAAATCTCCTCTTGATATGGAATTTGGATACGGTCAACAGCCATTTTTCCTTCTATTCATAAGATCTGGAGTGCTAAATGTTATCATATTTCAGATAGTATTCTGAAGAGAAAGTGTGTTTCATATAAACATTATAAATAGTTTTAATGGTAGCTGGAGAATAATTACCTTTCTAACCCATACAGAGTTTCATGGAGTTACATGTTGACAGGTCTGGCAAAGGGGAAATGTACAGCTTACTCTATATAAAAGAGCAGACTCTCCATGTAAAGTCAAACTTCAGCCACACGGATTGTGTACTGTCCAGAAGAGCTGTCAGGAGAAAGAGGGAAAGTTTAGTATTTCTGCTCCCACCATCAACACCCCTGTGTAACCTTTGTAATCTTTATCTAGATGGAAATGGAGTGGTAGAAAGATGACAGCATCCTAGAAATGGATTCAATCAGTTAGTCAAGTTGCAACATGGCCCATGATCTACCACCCTATTAACACTAGAACTGAGCTAGGCTACTCTATCTCTTCCTTTAAAGCAGTGATTCTTAACCTTGGGTTACTCAGGTGTTTTTGAACTGCAACTCCCAGAAACCCCAGCCAGCACAGCTGGTGGTGAAGGCTTCTGGGAGTTGCAGTCCAAAAACACCTGAGTAACCCAAGGTTAAGAACCAGTGCTTTAAAGCATCAAACTCCATTATGAAAGATCAGATGCAGCCAGGCAAAGCAGCACCAAAAGAACAAAGAATAGGTGCTTGCTTGCTAGCTAGCTAAGGGAAGGCAACGACTATTTGGGGAGATAGGGATAATTCCTTCCTACGTAACCCTAACTTTTAACAGCCCACAGCAAAGTCCACAGCATACTACATACTGTATTTAAAAAATGTGGGGAAAACCCCTGCAAAAGCGGGAGAGGAAAACAGGCAGGAAGAGTGACACACCGTGCTCTTTTATGGCTGACAGCCTTCCCCAACCGGGCATCCTCTAGACATGTTCAACTTCAGCTTTCATTATCTTCAAGAACCTGAAGCTCTACATATTTGCAGGGTGCCAGGATGGGAGAACCTGTGCAAGGAGGTGCCTTCCCCCTTTAACAGTCCCTCCCCAGCACAGCCTGCACCTGCCAGAAAGCCTGCAAGAGGTCTGGCCAAGAGGTTGATGGGGCAGAGAGGCAGCTACAGTGGTGCCTCGCATTATGACGTTAATTCGTTCCAGCGAAATCACTGTAGAACGAAAACGTCGTAATGTGAAAATAAAAAGCCCATTGAAACGCACTGAAACCCCTTCAATGCGTTCCAATGGGCTGGAAACTCACCGCCCAGCGAAGATTCTCCATAGGGCAGCCATTTTCGGTGGCTGTCTTGCGAGGAATCCATCCCAGAAAACAGCGGGGAGCCATTTTATTTACCCGGTAGCCATTTTGAACCGGCCGACCAGCTGGAGGAAAATTGTTGTTTTACGAGAGGAAAATCATTGTTTTGTGAAGAATCAGATCCCAAAGCTGGGAACCGATCACCGCAAAGCGAAAAAATGCCATTCAGACCATCATTTTGCAATCGCAATCACAAAAAGATCATCGTAATGCAGTTTCGTCGTAATGCGGGGCAATTGTAAAGCGAGGCACCACTGTATAAGATAGTCGCAAGGGAGTACTATCCCCACCTGCACCTTCCATTCCCACTCACACAAAGGCCTGCCTGCTGAACCTGGCTGGTAGAGAACGGCTTGAGTAGTTCATCTAGAATATCAGCTCAATGAGCCTCTGAAGAGCCCTGAAGGCAACTCATTACAGTTCATCCTTGGCCTGCAGATGAGAATGTCATGTACCAAGAATGCCATATACTGTACCAAGAACGTCATTTCCTGAGGCCACCCAATGAATTCAGGGCAGGGGCACAGCAGATGTGAGGCAGAAATTTCTCAGACGGAATACAGCACGCTCAACTCACTGTCAGTTGCAGCATTTATACTCACTCACTAGGAAAGCACAATAATCTAAGTACTAAAACATTTCATTTTTAAAAAAAGATGAAGATGGTATGTTATCTCAGGTTCATAGCGGCTTATGAAGAGGACTGGATTTCTTCAGTTTCCCCCGCCCCCAGGGAAGGAATAAGAAATTTGACTTGCTATCACTTCCAGAACCAAGAATATTTCTACAGCAAAATGTTTCTTGTTCAGCTTATCATATGTAGTTGCTTGCTAATAATGAATAAGCCATGCGCACAGCAATGGAATGTTTAGTTAATCATTGTCACTTTGAGGTGTGGAAAATATATTACAATGCAAAATATGTTAGCTAGTGTTTTTATGTTTTACCATCTTGGACTTTTTCTATCTCTATGTTGTCGATATTGTTGTTTTAATTTTTGTTATATACACGGACTGCAAGCCGTGTTGTTTTAATTTTTGTTATATACTCGGATTGCAAGCCGCCCAGAGTAGATTTGTTGAATCTAGATGGGCGGAGTAAAAGCCAGAGAAATAAAACAAAAATAGTGTTCCCTATGATACTAATGCAGTAAAATCAGAGCCAGGGGAAATTTAAAAACACCTGCTCCCATCAAGGTTCTGCTTGTCTAATAAAATACAGTTTCAACTAATCAATATATCCATCAAGCTAACTTGAAACTGAAGCCATGATAATAATGCCAATCACATACCATCCAATCCATTCTGACATCTGGTGACCCTTTTCCATTCCCCTTTTCTGGTGGCGTCCTGAGACTGCTCTTTCAAAAAAATACAGGAATCTGTACAATGAGGGTGCAAAATGGGCACAGAGACCTATCAATCATTTTGTCCTCAGCCAGATAAGTTTGCCCCACCTCACCACACAAAGAGTGCCACTTTCTCTGTCAGATCTCAAGCTCTGTCTCAGCCAGGGTGGTTCATGCAAAGGATAAGATCAGGCTGACCTTATTCTTTCATTCCTGTATATGCATTTTTATACAACCCTCCAATCAAACGCTGATGGCACTGAACTGAAAACTCTTCCCATTGTTCTTTAGTTCCATGACGCAGACTTTAAACTGCCAAAGTCACATAAGACAGCATATAACTGAGGAACTTGAATGGATAAATCTCATAACAGCCCAGCCATACAAAACCATGAAATATTGCAGAGGGAAAGGGGGATGGATGGACAGACCAAAACACACATCATCCTTTGGATATCATTGGTGTGCATCTCCCATCTAGCCAAGTAAACATAACAAATGGCGAATAATGATGGACGTTGCTGCCAAACTACACTGGTGGGAGGAAATTGCAGAACCTGTGACAGGTCAAGCTTCACCCCACCTTTAGCTAAGGCAGTAACGCAAGGAAGGTCTTCCTGTGGCCAGTCCAGGACTGCCGTGCCCAATGCCAAACCTTTTAATACTGTACTGCACAGTTTCAGTTTCAGGATGAAGCTGCCGGTCACTGGGTATTGATCTCACCGCATGCCTTTGTGGGTTCTCTCATATTTATCGAAAATGTGTAGAGGCGCCAGTCCAGGAACCACAAGGACAGAAGACACAAGGATGTACAAGGAACAATGCCGTATATTGATCTCTGATTAATTTTCAAACCAAATATTCCTTCCTTAGAGATAACGAAATACTTCCTTACATGGAGCTCCTTGACACCACCTTATGATGCCAAAATAACCTCAGTTCTCCCATATTCTTGCCCCCAGTTTTCACAGCTTTTCTACTCAGAGGGATGGATTTTCTTAAATGCTCAGCTAAACAGTCTTTCACAACTCACCTACTGATGGCATAATTTAAGTATTCCTGACAATAAAGATTCTACTAGAAACTTTACAAGAATAAAGTCTTAAGCTGCATTCCGAAGCGCAGAATGCAAACTCAGAAGTATTATGTACGTCCGAAGCGCAGAATGCAAACTCAGAAGTAAGCATTATGTACAGGGAAAATGAGCATTTAGTTGAGGTGCTACCTGTTTCTACGGAATGTTAGCAGCTGAACATCTAACAAACCAGTCACTCTGGTTTATGATTATTATTTTCAAAGTATCTGCACTATATTTTACCTGACAAACTAATCTAGTCAACATTTTCTGTAGGTTGTTTACATACTAAGTAACAAACAAATTAGCAGATTATTCGTACATTCAAGTACTCTTTCTCAAGGTAAATATCCCACGCCCTGAATAAATTGAGGACTAAACTCTGGCCTCTTTTGTGACATTCATAATTGGTTCTATTGTGCACAGACAAAGCATAAAAAGGAAAGCATATACACAAACGGCACAAGAAAAGGCATCGAAGTACCAGACACCTATCCTAAATATTTTGACCTGACACATAATCAAGAGTAATATATAAACATTTACTCTTCCTGACTACTCTGTACAGAAGAAAATCCTAATCGCAGAAAACAAATGTGTTTCTTTACAACTCACATGCATTTGTGGTTTTGGTGTTCATCATCAGTTTTACAAAAATGCCTGGCACCACATAAGAATCCTGTTCCTTGTTTATGATTCATACAAAAATCCCCAGGTGCAAGCAGGTAAAACATAAGAATACATAATCTGCAGTGAAACCAATGACATTTAAAGTGGGTTTTTTGTAAATGAGGAAGTTAGATGTTATTACCTCTCCCCATATTCTATCATCATCTGTGATATTTGTTTTTTAACCCACGGGCCAAAATCCTCTTAGCTATGCTGGCAGAACAGTAGTGGCTTTACTCCTGAATGTAAATTATTCCACTATAACACTAATCTATACTTGATCAAAGCAGGCTACCCAAAAAAACAAAAAAAAAAACCAAAAAACAAACAAAAAAAAAACAAAAACAAAAAAAACCAAAAAAGACCTCATAATATTTTACAGATTTTCTAGGAGGTATTCAAATTTTTTATAGATCTCTAGAGGAACAGAATTGCCTAAACCTCAGTTTATTAGAGGGGGAAAATGCAAGCACTGAAAATCATTTATATTTCAATCCCAATATAACTAAAGAGTTGTATACAGAAGTACATGGACTTTGTAACAACAGTCACTTAAGAAGATTGATTACATTTTTTAATGTTAGATCTGACTGGCTGTGAACCTATGCTCGTTGACCAATTATTAACTAACTATAAGGAAATGTGTGAAATTAAGGAACAAAATCAATCAAAAACATAGTGTGTGGGGGGGGAACCCTATCCCCCCCTCCCCCCAGTTACCAGGAAGGCACTAGGTCTTCTTGAAAGGTTGCAATGAAGTAGAAAGAAAGCAGATCCCTGGGGTAGCTTCACCACCACCCTAATTTGCTGTCAAGTCGATTTTGATTCATGGCAATCCCTTCCCCAGTTTCCTAAGCAC